TGGGGCTACAGCAAATTTTTGGGTGCCTGAAGACACCCAGTAGCCCCGCTCCCAGCACCACTGCCAACCAGCCCGAGTGCAGCCCCAGCCCGCAGTGGCAGCTGGCCCAGATCCATGGGCACATGCCCCCTTGTGCTTTCCTGGGGTGCATGCCTCCCCATCCCCAGGCCCCCCAGACAAGTCACTCACAGCTCTGTTCCATGCCCCGGCTTTGCAGGGCCTGCCCCTTCTCCTGCTCCTGCTCCAGCTCCCTCCCTGACAGCTGCTACAGCTGCCTATGTTGACCAGTGTTGTGGGGGGGGACGTGCCCCATCTGTGCAGGGTGTAGGTGGCTGCTGTTGTGAGCTTTGCACCCTGAGCTCCTCTACCTGGCCTGGGAACAGCTCAATGCCACATGCATCCCTGAGCCTCATCCCCTGCCCGCCCAGCAGTTGGACATGTGGTGTCAGGCCACTCCCCAGCCAGGCTGCACCAGGGCTCAGGATGCAAAGCCCAGCCCACAATGGCAGCTGCCTCCGCTGCATACAGATGGGGGGGGGGCAAACGTGCCCCCTGGGCCTCTATTGAGATGTGCACAGTGCCCCCCCCCCGCCATGCCCCTGGACGAGCCGCCCGGGTTCGATTCTCCCACCATCCACTGGGCTGGGGCCCCACTCACCTTACCCTTGCTCCTGCCTCTGCGGCACTCTGTCCCTCACCATGGGGGCCTCTATCTGGCCCCCTACATCTTCCCTCCCCCACGGACTGACCTGTTGGGCTGGAGATGGGGTGTGTGCATGCATGCACACATGTGCTTAGCTCCCCCAGCCTCAGATTGACTCCAAGAAGCTTCAAGATCAGTTAGTGACCTCTGCTCTAGAACACCAAGGCTTAGTTCACATCTTCCATCAAGCAGAAGCTAAAATGAAGGAGGCCAGCTTACAAAATAGAAGATACTCCCTCTATGTACCAAGCCCTGGCAGCTCAGTCTGTTGCGACTGCATTTTACCATGTCTGAAATACCCTGCTGCGTTCTCCAGGAACAGATTTGTGAGAATTCCTTCAAGCTATGTTTTAATCCAAGCAAAACAGAAACAAACCCCAGAGTAAAGTCAATATTTATAATGACACCTACTATTTAATAGCAACAATTGACAATCTGTAAAAGTAGCCTGAATTTCTAGTATAAAGAAGGAAGGGCTAACAGCCTTGAAATAGCCCAATCAATACCAAGCTCAGTTTCAGGTATTTACTGTTAGCCAAAGTTGTCCATTTTATGAGATGCGGATATAAGGTGGCTTGTCCCCTGCATAAGACACTGTGGTACCTGCTGTCTACACCTGTAGCTACACACTGCTGTTTTCAAGAGATGATATTGATCCAAGGAAGTTTTGGAGGCTGATCTGTTCTGTACAGGCGAGATGAATTGCTCAGCTTGTATTAAGAACATCTTAAATAATCAGTGAGCTTAACAAGCATAAGATAATTGAGCAGTGACAACTTCCCAGGTATTCAGTCGGCTTTGCATTTGGCACCTACAGATTCTCTTTGATAGCAGGCTGGTTCCTCTCTCATGGGTAGCATCATCATTGCTGATGCTCCTGAGGCTGCAGAAACAATTACTGAAGGATCTGTTATATCTGGAAAGCAAATCTGAAACTATGGAAAGCAGCAGAAGCCCTTCCCCCAGCAAGTAAGTAGGGCACCTTAGATGCGGGGCATTTGGAGTAGTACTTGACACAGGTTACAACTGCAATAGCAGGATAAGGCAATGTGCTATTAGCATAAATCTATTTCATGGGTGGCATTAAGGGCTCCAGTCCCCTGAGCCTATGGTATTTCTGTGCCTGTGTGTCTGTTCCAAGCTTGAGGCACAGGGTGTTATTTTCCATCCATAGAGCTTTGCAGAATTGCATGAAATGTGGAGATAAAATGCTTAGGAGTGTTTGTATATTGATGGATCTCTATCACGGCTGGTGTACAGAATGTGGAGAACTGGCTCCAGTTGTGCTTATGACGTGTCTCAGCTGCAGGAGCCACGTATAACTTTTTGTTTTTATACTGTTGCTGTTGGGATTGATCAAAAATACCTCATGAGGAATTTTAAATGAGCCGACAAGAAAGTGAGGTCCCCAAGGAATTAAAATTTAATAAAATACTGTGGAACTCCTCCGAAAACCTGAAAGATTCAAATGGAGACTTACATAGCCTCCAGTCAAGGCTCTGACCCTTCCCAAAGCATCCTACAACAGGTAAGGAGGCTCTCTGGAATTCTGTAGAAAGGTCAAAATAGAGTCTGTATACCAAAGCTCATCCTCTAACATCTCTGACTTCTCCATAACAGATAACAAACGTGCATTAGACAGTAGCATGCGAGAACACTTGGGGCTGAACACTTAGTACGCTGACTTGGAAACACAAAGCCCAACATAAGCCCTGACAGTAGGAGAACAGGAAACCTCTATCTGAAGGGAAAGCAAGAGAATATCTGAACCCAGCGTCCGATTACAGCAAGGAAGTGGCTAAGCCAATGAGTCTCCACTACTCCCCATGCAGCAGGTATTGGGAAGTGGCATCAGCTGAACTCCATGAATGCCATGGTGTATCTCACACCGCTTGAGAATTTGCTTAGTTTTGGCAGGACATTGGCCTTTGCTGGGAGAATCATAAAGAATTGAATCATAGAGAAGCAGGGCTGGCAGAGAGCTCCATTGTTTCATAGCAGGTTGGGTCGGAAGGGACCTGAGCAGATCATCTAGTCCGACCCCCTGCCATGGTAGGAAAGAATACTGGGGTCAAACGACCCCAGCTAGGTGATTAAGTAGCCTCCTTTTGAAGACCACCAGGGGTAGTATGCTCAAAAGATCCCAGGAAGAGGGCCACAACCCCTGCTACAGAGGAAGGCAAAACCCCACACAATCCCTACCCACCTGACCATGGGGTAAAATTCCTTCATGCCCCCAAATATGGCAACTGGTCTGACCCTGAGCAAACAGGCAAGACCCTTTAGCCAGGAACATGTGGATTTAAGTTCCAGCAGGAGCATTGGCATGCCCTAGTCAAAATCCCCAGCCTTGACTGCAGCCAACACCCAATGCTTCTGAGGAAGGTGGGGGAAGGGGAGGAATTCCCTCCCATACAGCAACCAGCAAAGCCTAGAAACATGGGAAATACCCACAGCAGGACACAGGCATAGCTACACTTAGAACATCCCTCTTCTTGAACACCTCCAGTGATGGAGAGTCCACTACTTTGCCATAGGCACCCTGATGCATGCTCTCTGGCCCAGGAGCTGAAGCCAGGGCCAAATGCACAAGTACTCTTAGGTGACGACCTGCCTGACTGCTGCATTGGCCCCCACTCCTGTCTGTCGGCACATGAAGGCAGTTTATGTAAGGAGCTGATTTTGAGAGTTAAAGAGGTTCCAGGCCTGGCAAAACCTTTGGTTTCTGCCCTGAGCTGTGGCACCAAAGCACAGAGCTAGCGGGAGGCAGTGCATTTGCAAAAGTGGGTTAAAACCCCACTTGTGCCCACCTGCTCCTGGGCAGCTGCCTGCCAGTTCAGTCTCCTGCCACTGAAGCAGCCTGAAGTCTGCTTTAATAGGTTGTCCTGGCTTCTGGGTGTCCTCAGGGTGCAGGGAAGCCCTGCCCACACCCCTTCCCTTGGCTCTGCCAGCTTCAGGGAGGGGTACAGCCCATGCTTGGTTAAGCTGAAGATTGCAACCTGTACATTCCACCCTCAGGGAGGCTCCCAGGCTGCAGGACTATACTGGACAAAGTGGCTATAGCCTGCATATTTTATGTTGCAACCTTGTGCTTTTGCGCCCTCCTGCCTGCACAGCTTTTGCCTGCTTGCAGAAGGGCTGGAAGATGCTGGCTCTCAAGTGGTTGGCAACTCGATTCATTGGGAGCACATTGTTTCATGCTGTCCTTACAAGGCAGTGGCAGATGGATGCTGTATAAATACAACTATTTATTATTCTATCATCATTAGGGACTCCTGATGGGAAACCCTGCAGGAGCCACCAGGATTACAGAGCAACCATCCAGTCATTCTGGTGGCATCCACTCTGGGCAGGGAAAGCCAAACAACCAAAGATAATAACCTGGCACTAAAATGGCAAAGTTATCCCATGCCCACATGGCACAGGCAGCAAAGCAGCTCCCCATCCTCACAGTGCCCTGCTGTGCTGGGGAAGGTCCCTTTGGTACAGTCGCCTAACTGTGCCGGCTCCAGCCACATAGCACTCCAAGTCTCACTTTCTGTTAAAAATAAAAAGATACTAGCTCAGGGTTTTCTGTACATAGCAATGATAAACAGAAAAAGCAGCAGAGGAAGGGCCAGGTGGTACTGCAGGTTAATGGGACCTGGATTCAAGTCTGCTAAGATCATAGGGGAAAAGGAATTGGTAGCCTCAGTCCAGCCTGTAATGGATATTTCTCTGCACTGTAAAAGCCCCACACAGTACAACTGGTAGCACTGGCCCGGGTTGAAGCAGCTGAAGCTGACAGTCAGAGGGATTCACAGCAGCTCCCAGTAGAGCTGGTTGCAAGTGCTTCATTGAAATGCTCTTCTGGTGACAAATGCTCTTTTTGTCATGATAGGAATATTTTGAAACCTGTGTTTGATTTTGGCAACACTTTGCTGAGGCACTGTTTATGCAGCCCACTTCAACATTTTTGGTATGGGACTGTTTCAAGGCCAAAACTTTAACTCAAGTCACTGTTTTCTATAAGCAAAGTTTTAAAAAGTGAAGGTGTGGTCAATGCTGTAATAGCAGGCTTTTGCCTGAGTGACAGGTAATGTTTCAATGAGGCTGACATGATTTTTTTTTTTTTTGAAACGCTGCTTTATGGGAAATTAAAAATATTTTATGTTTCTTTTCCCCCTTGTCCGGAATAGAAAAAAAAATTGAAATATTGGAAAAAATATTTCCTTCCACCCCCAGCTACAGGCAGTATTCTCATAAGATCAGAAGGCACAAAAATATTTAAAAGTAAAGTGTACAAGGAAAAAAAATAGTAGCTTTTAAATTTTATTTCCCTTGATGTATAAAGACAGTCCAAAAGAATTCCAAGCCCCTCCCTAGATTGTTTTTTTTCCATTAAAAGACCATTAGAAATTCAGGTCTTGTCTACCCTAAGCAGAGTTTTGAACAACTAAAGAAGAAAAAAGTTCATATTACAGTTGTGAAGCAAGTATAACCTGATTGGTTGGCAGGAGAAACGATTTCTAATCAGAGCTATTTAGAATGCTTGAGGTTTTGGTTTTGTTTTTTAAACATGTATTTAATTCAAGCGTCTAGCAAACATTGTGAGAAGGGCTCTTTTTGCTAAAGAGTCTATGCTCTTTCAAATAAGGGTTGGAAAAAAACCCCTCCCAATCTTGGTTTTACACATCTCTAACCAGACCTAGGTATAACAAGACTCAATATTCTTGAGGTTTCTGAGTAAAAAACACAAGCAGGATGAAAACTTAAAGATCAGAACACAACCAGCAGTTTCCAGAGCCTCTGTAAAGATTAGAAAGTAGTACAAATCCAAAGAAGAAAGCCTGATCAGTGTTATATGAAGAAGTCTTTTTTCTTTAGAAAATCCAAATGCACAGCTGCCTGATAAGCAAGTGTATCATCAGCCCTTGGGACTCCAAAAAATTGCTGCTTTTCTCTATCTGGATAAAATATTTCAGTCACTTACAGTAAACAATTCAGAAGCAAGCAGAGTACGAGGTGTAATATATGTTTGAAAATGTACACCCTCATTAGCTGAGAAATTAGCATGGGCCAAGAAATGAGCTGAAAATATACCCCCAAATGCTTGTGCTTTTAGTAACGAAGCTACTGGCTCACTCGCCTTGGAGAGGGATTTTGCTTGGACCAGCAGTTTATTCAATAGTTTATTTAAGCCTGAACCAGCAACATTCATGCAGTTGTCCTGAATTACTTCTTAAATCTCAGTGAAATTACAGCTGCTTTCATCTTAATTCCTGAATAATGGTATTTATGGAGCCAAGAAGTTCCTTAAAATAGCCATCTTTGTCACCTTCCCTTTGTTCTTCAGCCGCCAGCTCCTCATACTCGCTGCGCAACATGCTTAGTGTGATGTTGAGGTGCTGGTCCCCACGGTATCGATCCTTGCAGAAGGCCATCAGAACACTCACTGTTTTTAGGACTTTCTCTCGAGTGTCATGCTCCGGCAGTGCCAGGAGGTTGGAAACAATGGCACACCAGCCCTGTTCTACCACAGCGGGCACCAGCTTCACTTGGCTGTACTGCTGGACTTTCTCTTCCATTTGGTCTTCATTGTTCTGGGCACCCTCAAGCAGCATCTGTGAGAAACCATGTTACATTGATTATTAGTATCCTAGTACAACTGCCACCTTTAATAATTGTTCTCAGTAGATTTTTTATACTGTTGAGCAACATAAAGTAGATTTCCCTGTAATGCATGTTAGTTATTAGCATGTTTTGGTTATTTGTAAACTTTCCTGCTATCCATTGAATTAAATTTTGCCCACCTATTTGGATATTAGTTTTTAGAATATTTGGGGGTATTGTATAAACTGAAACTAGAAAGAGAAAGCCAAGGATCACTTAACTCATGCAAAGATTAAGCATAGTTAAAGATTTCTGCTCATAACAGACAGTTTATAGTAGTGTTTCAAAATGAAACCATTTTATAATGTTGCAAATTATTACATATGGTTTTCTGTTGTTTTAAATCGGCACATTTCACTTTAAGCATACTTAACATGTTTCTTATCATTACCCATGATATCAACCACACTGGATTAATGACATGTCTCATGGAAATAAATCAGTTTGCTTAGACATTTTTTCTAAATTATCTTACATATCACAATACTACCTCTTAAACATTGCCTCTTATTTTATTGTACTTGCTTTTCCTTGCATCATTGGATGACTACATGAAGTAAATGCAATTTGGGAATGCTTAAGGTGCATGTGGAATTCTGTTATTTGTTATGAATATGCACAAAGTCACATAGAAAGGTATAAGATATGATCAAACTGCAATTGCTGTCATTTGCCATTTATTTTCCAGCAAATCTTTAAGAGCTGACAAAAAACTGCAGTAGCAACTTGCAGTCACTTATAGCACCATATTATGACCAGAAATTATGCTACCTATTTATTTTTAAAATTGTTTCTTCCTGTTCCATTTACTAATATAGTCTGCTAATTTGCATAATTTTGTTGGGAAAAAAGGCTGTACAAATAACTGGAATCTATTGTATTATTATCCAGGGGGTGAATCCAGATACCCCCTAATATCTGACTTTCAAGGTCATGTGCAAAGGAAAAATATATATATATATATGTAAATAAAAGGAAGCACGCCCTATTTTGTTTCTTTATGATACATAAAGGTGGCTTGAAAAATTTTTGTGCTTTGTTTTTATGTTTTAGAAATTCTAGCCCTGTCCAGCCTGGAAAACTCTTAGATGACTGGAGGATTACTGTGGTACTATGACATCATGGGCAACAAACATCTAACAGAAAGGGGAAGACAGTTTAGGTGATGATGTTTAAAAAGTTGGTTTTTGTTCTGTTTCATAACTACCATGTAACTCTGTGCCTATTGAACATTTTTGTTGTGCCATCACTTCGGGAATGTTACCAGACCACAGGCTCTGACCGTTTCAGATCAGCTTTAAATCAAAAGGTTCAGCCATCCTATTCTGTGCAGCTACATGCACTTTCAAAAGCACCCCCACATGTAAGCCAAGATGCAGAGCCCAAGTGAAAGACCCAGTTCTAGCAGGCACATTGAAGGCTGCTGCAGTGGGGGTTGATCTTGTTCAAATATACTGAGTTTCAGTGTTCACAGCGTGGGCGGCATATGTAGGAATCTGCACATTCATTTACTGCTGGCTTTGATACTAGCTGTTACCATTAAATGTGTGGCCCTGGCAGTGCCAGCAGGTGAATGTGAGAAGCTGTCGCTAACAGGAAATCCACGTATGCATCACCAACCAGAATGTGATCCGAAATGCATTTCAGTCTGCACGGCATAAACAGCTGGTCCCTGTACAAAATA